CCAGATGCTTTGGACTTCAGCTCCCAGAATTCCTGGCTGTTGGCCAAGCCATCTGGGGCTTCTGGGAGCTGAAGTCCAAAGCATCTGGAGGACCAAAGTTTGGGAATCACTGCTCTAGAGAGAGAGAGAGACTGTCCTCTCTAGGAATCGGTTGCCTTCTCAGAGACACTATTCCAGAGAGAGTGACTACTCTAGGGATCTGTAGACAACTTGGAAGGCATCACTTGAGAAAAGATGGCCTTTCTGGGAGTCTATTGCCTTCTTGGAGAAACTATGCAGCATGAATGTGTCTGTTTCTTTGCAGTTTGCAATTTTGCAATTTGTGTTTTCCAATTTGCAATTTGCACTTCTTTTGCAATTTGCAATTTGCAACTGATCAGGGAGCATCATATGCCCTATCATCCACAACACAATTCTCAAATCTCTCTTGCGGTGTCCAGGCGGCAGCGGCTGCTGTTTCACTTCCTTCCTTTGAGAAGAGCTGTGTTTTGTTAATCAAAAAGAGAGATCATACATAATTCCTTCCCAGAGGAACATCAAGGGCCTTCCAAACAGGACTGAATAATTCCCGAGCGTCTGCATTTGTAGAACATTTTCCGACATGAGATCAATCAAGGGACTCTGTTCGAAATGCCTGCCAGGTACAGGAAAGTCCCAAAGGAGTGCTTCAGGGTTGTCACTTTTGCAAAAGAAACTCTTGCAATCTTGGCTTGCCATGGAGGAGAAAGACCAGATCTGGATCCAGACCTGTGGGGAAAGAAGGGACTTTCTGATTTGGAGGAAGACCTGGCTTGGACTTGAATTCAAAAAAGACCTTGGTAAATTGGACTGAAACTCCTAGAATGCAGTTCAGCAAAGGCAAATGCAAAAGTCTCAGTTTAGACCACAAACACATATGCACAAGTATAAAATGAAGGATACTTGGTTTAGCAGTAGTGCATCTGAACAGGACCTTGCAGTTACTGTGGACCTGAAAGTTGCAACAGTGTGATGCTGCAGCAAAGGAGACAAATACTATTTTAGCCTGCATTAATAGAAACATAGTATTCAAGTCAAGGGAAGTAATAATTCAAATTTATTCTGTCCTAGTCTGGCTTTATTGTGCAGAGTTTATCTAGGTCTGGGCATCTCATTTTAAGAAGGATATGAGAGCCATGAGTGTTGGACTATGACTCTGGAGGCCAGGGTTCAAATCCCAGCTTGGCTATGGAAACCCACTGAGTGACCTTAGGTGAGTCACACTCTCTCAGCCTCAAGGGAAGACCATGGCAAACCTCCTCTGAACAAATCTGAACAAGTTGGGAGTGGCCTGAATGCACACAACAATAACAGCAACAATAATACAAAATATCTAGTAGGTTGAGAGATGGACCACCAGGATGATAAAAAATCTGGGAAATAAAATATATGAGGACAGATTAAAAGAGTTGGGCATGTTCAACCCGGTGAAGAGAAGATGGGTGACCGGATTGCACTCTTTAAATGCTTTATTAGTTTATTCAGGACAATTTATTTTATTTATTTCATTTATTCATATATAGCTTGGAGAAGAGAAGAATTGAGAAGTGACATGATAGCTGCTTTCATACATCTGAAGGAATGCCATGTAGAAAAGATGGAGAGAACTTGTTTTCTGCCGTTTGGAGACTAGGATGCAATCTAGTGGATTCAAATTGCAAGAAAAGAGATTAGGAAAAGTGTTTGACCGTAAGAGTTGTTTGAGAGGGAGTATGGACTTCCTTGGAGGGTGGTGGACTCTCCATCTTTGGGGCTCTTGCAACAGAGGTTAGATGGACATCTCTCAGGGGTGCTTTAGTGGGGTTTCCCTGAA